GTACCAAAAAAAAAAAAAAAAAAAAAGAATGAAATAATGCCATTTGCAGCAATATGGATGGACCTAGAGATTCTCATACTGAGTGAAGTAAGCCAGAGAAAAACAAATATCATATGATATTGCTTACATGTGGAATCTAAAAAAATGATGCAAATGAACTTATTTACAAAGCAGAAATAGATCCACAGACATAGAAAACAAACTTATGTTTGCCAAAGAGGAAAGGGGGTAGGGGAGGGATAAATTAGGAGTTTGGAGTTAACATATACACACTACTATATATATATTTTTTTTTTTTTTTTTTTTTTGGCAGCACTGGGTCTTTGTTGCTGTGTGCGGGCTTTCTCTAGTTGTGGCGAGCGGGGGCTACTTTCTTCGTTGCGGTGCGTGGGCTTCTCACTGCGGTGGCTTCTCTTGTTGCAGAGCACAGGCTCTAGGCACGCGAGCTTCAGTAGTCGTGGCTCGCAGGCTCTAGTGCACAGGCTCAGTAGTTGTGGCTTGTGGGCTGTAGAGTGTGGGCTCAGTAGTTGTGGCTCATGGGCTTAGTTGCTCCACAGGATGTGGGATCTTCCCAGACCAGGTCTCGAACCCATGTTCCCTGCATTGGCAGGTGGATTCTTAACCACTGTGCCACCAGGGAAGCCCCACACTACTATATATAAAATAGATAACCAACAAGGACCTACTGTATAGCACAGGGAACTATCTCAATATTTTGTAATAACCTATAAGAGAAAAGAATCTGGAAAAGAATATATAGATGTAGATGTAGGTATAGATACAGATATGGATATATAACTGAATCACTGTGCTGTACACCTGAAAATAGCACAACATTGTAAATCAACTGTTCTTCAATAAAAAAGTAAACAAGTATATAAAATTGAGTCTCATTGTATACACATGTAATTTCTATATCATACGTTTTTGCTTTATAAGTAATTCACAGCCGTGTATGGTCTCCACCACTTCCTACAGACGCTAAGTAACTAGCCCAGCCACTGCTTAGATCCCGCAACCAGCACAGCTGATATTAAATCCCTTGAACAGTCTTCCATCTCCCAACTCAGAGCAACCATCAGCTAGAGCTAGTTGTATATTATGGGTTGTGTAGGATTTGGTCCCCCCAACAAGACTCCTTGAGTTTATTTTCTTCCAAGAAAGGTATCAGTTTGTTCAGCACCATATGACCAGCACCTAAAAAAAATGCACAGCACATAGTAGTTGCATAATAAACATTTGTTGAACCTATGAGTGTAACGGTGACTTTCAAATTGTGGTATAAGGCCCTTTCAGTGTTGAGAGGCAGGGCTTCAATAGTTTCTGCTTGGATGGTCCTTGGTCAGGTGAGAGGTCTGACAGTCACTCTATGTTGGCCAGGAGCACAGATTCTAGAGTGCCATTCTCCTGGGACAGTGGTGCTCTTACCTGGAAAGAGGGCATCATGGAGGCTCCTGCCTTCTTCTTGGAGCACAGAAAACTGTGGGGCTTCTCCTTAGTTCCCAGGAATGGGTTCAAGAGGGATGCAAAGAAGTAAGTCTGTTGAGGACAAGAACTGTGACTTTTTATCCTGTTCTGTCATGTTAGCTAAGCTTGTAAGCATAGTGTTTTAACAAGTTGTCTAATGAAAGAATGAACAGTCAGATAACCTGCCATCCTTCAGTGACTAAGCCAGAGTCATCTCTGCTTTTTTTTTTTTTTTTTAATAAATTTATTTATTTATTTAATTTTTGGCTGCATTGGGTCTTCGCTGCTGCGAAGCACGCGGGCTTTCTCTAGTTGCAGTGAGCGGGGGCTACTCTTTGTTGCGGGGCACAGGCTTCTCGTTGTGGTGGCTTCTCGTTGCAGAGCACAGGCTCTAGACACACGGGCTTCAGTAGTTGTGGCTCGCGGGCTCTAGAGCGCAGGCTCAGTAGTTGTGGCACACGGGCTTAGTTGCTCCGCGGCATGTGGGATCTTCTTGGACCAGGCCTCAAACCCGTGTCCTCTGCATTGACAGGTGGATTCTTAACCACTGCGCCACCAGGGAAGCCCCTCATCTCTACTTTTAAGGAGTTTTGAAATACGCTTGAGAAGCACAGAAAGTTAAACAACAAGAAAATTCAGTAAGAGAGATATTCCAAGGCAGTTGCTGAGTGATTGCACATTAAGAGGAGCTGACAGCTGACATGCTCATGTTCTTCCAGATGCAGCCCTCACATCAGGGTTCATTAGGCTTTGTCTATATCAGTTCTAATAATAATCCTTAGTTTTCTCCGAGTAGCAGATTTGAAGTCTACCTGAGAGAGTACAAAAAAAATCAATTCTGTTTATGTTCTTCAGGTAAGATCATAACCGACTTTGAGATGCATTTAACATCGCATACTTCACAGCCTGGTGTTCAATGTCTATGTTAGAAACTGTATCAGTAGCTACTGGAGGATGAAGCTGGGCAGTGTGTGGGGTGACAGATTGGCGATGAGTATGGGGAGAATTCATTTTTCCTGTGACTGTATGATGTGAACCAACTAAGATACTTTTTTGCCTTCCTAAGTTGTATTGAGTATTCAGCCTTTTCACTGGGTATTTTTTTTACTGTTTGGTTTATCAGTTTTCGGTACCAGATAAGCACACAGTTCTGGAGAAGTTGACGTCATGTGTAACCAAGAATGGGAAGGGGTATTCTTATTCCATTGTCAATACAGAGAATCTTGGTTTATGTTGTGATGAGTTGTTTTCCTTAATCCGGAAACTGATTATTTATTTTAATAACTGAGATAGAGTTATTGGGAGTAATTGATGAGATTTCTTTCAGTTCAACTTCAGCCAACATTGAAGACCTGGCCATTTTTAGGGGGACTGTGCCAGATGCTTCCATGCATATTGTCCCAGGGCAAGATGTGGAATACATTTTATTACAGCCCATATGCTCTACAAACAGATCATATGCAGGAAAAAGATAGTTGCTTTATCAGGAAAGGCCTGTTCCTTAGAAGAGTAATGAATCAGTAAAATGATGAAAACATGTATTATAAAAGCCTGGAGGGAAGTTCAGACTGAAAGGTAAAAAATATGTCTTCCATTGATCCTACTCTCCACTGAGTGAAGGGATTCTCATAGACTTTTGCTCCCTTTTAGATTAAACAGAATAAAGCCAAAAATAAACATCACCTGTCTCTAATTCCCAGATTTTAGGGCCTCATAGGATGGAGGAAGAAATTCAATGAGAGTGCAAGGAAGTTATTAGCCAAACCCGGAACGTGGGAGATTCTTTGAGAAAAAACAAATTAAAAATTCTTTTTAAAAATAAATCAATAAAAAGAACATTCGGGAAGGGACTGTTGAATAGAAAAGAGTTAAGAGATAACAAGCAAATTAAATGTGCAAATTTTGGAGAATCTTGATTTAAACAAAGCAACTGTTTAAAAAATCTTCAAGATGAGACATTTTTTTTAATATAATATGGTCACGTTATTTATTTATTTAGCTGCTCCAGGTCTTAGTTGCGGGATGTGGGATCTTCACTGCGGCACACAGGATCTTTAGTTGTGGCATGCAGACTTCTTAGTTGCAGCATGCATGTGGGATCTAGTTCCCCAGCCAGGGATTGAACCCCAGGCCCCTTGCATTGGAAGTGCAGAGTCTTACCCACTGGACCACCAGGGAAGTCCCAAGATGAGAAATTTTCATATGCAGTTGGGATTAGACGATAGGAGGGATTTCTACTAATTGGGATAATGGTATAACCTTATCATCTAGAGATGCACATTGAAGGTTTCATGGATGAAATAGTAGGATGCCATGGATTTGTTTTTAAAATACCTCAGCCAAAAAAATGAGGGAGGGGGAATAGATGAAACCAGGTAGCCAGAGTCTGACAATGAGAGAGAGCTGGGCGAGAGATACACCACAGCATAGTAAATTTCTCTCTAAATACTTATGAATGTTTGAAATAAACCAGAAGCAAGTTGACAAACAGTAATCCTGTAGCGGTCTGGCCTCTCTCCAGGCTTTTAACCACCACTGAGCCTGCAGGGCAATGGGGAATTAGATGGATAAAACAGGAAAAATGATTCACATCTAGAATGTGGACAGGATCAGACCTCTTATTCTGGAGACCGTGAACTCATAAGATGTCCATAGATGGGTTTCAGAATGGTCTGAACTCCCTGTAGGTACATACCAAGTTTTGATACGAATTTTTTTCTGGGGAGGCATCTAGGTTTCACTAGATCCTGAAAGGCATTCATGACTCACACAATTTGAGATACACTAGGTTACAGCAGTTCCGAAGCCTATTTCAACTCTCAAATTCTGTAAACTCATATATCTAAGAACAAGAAATTTAATTGTCCTATTTGAAGAACTCGCTGCATAGTGGAAAGGACTCTAGATTTCATGAAATCTGTATTTTAGTATATTTAAATTCTTAGGATATGAGAATGTTTAAGAGCCATCAGATAC